CAAAGAAGGACGTGTACCCACTACCACGTACTGATGATGCAATAGACCTGTCTTTCATCAGCGTCCTACTTTTCGCCTGTCGATGTGAGGTCAGGGTATTGGAAGATTTAATGCAGCAGGAAGATCAAGAGAAAAACGTCATTTGTTACAGTAGATAGACTTTTTGAATTCAATGTGATGCCATTTGGGCTATGCAATGCGCCTGCAACTTCTGAGCGCTTCATGGACAACATTCTGCGTAGTTTGAAGAGGGAAGTATGCATGTGTTATCTGGACGATGATGTGATTTTTGGGCGCACATTCTGTGAGCACAACACACGCCTTGACCTCGTGCTGAACTGCCTAAGCAAAGCAGCGCTTGTGCTCAGCTCAAAGAAATGTTGTTTCGGAAAGGGACCAAAAACTCATCTTGAACACTTAGGGAACAGAGAAGGCATACGGCTGGACCCCGCGAAAATGGCTGCAGTGGAGGCGTTCAAGCATTACTCACTCAGCGAAAAGAACGACGCAGCTTTTTGGGTGTCTGCTCATACTTTCGTCGAATCATCCCTGGATTAGCCAATATCGCACACCCACTCACGTACCTGCTTCAGAAAAGTGCGCCATTTAACTGGACTCCGGAATGTACGTTCATTTTTTCTAAGTTGAAGTTCCTTTTGACATCCCATCTTATTCTTCGAACACTTCGATCCTCTGGCTCCCACAGATCTTCACACAGGCGCTAGCTGAGTCGGTGTAGGTGCCAGTGTTGGTTCAACGCTTGGGATACCAGAGAACATGTCGTTGCGTATGCAAGTCGCTCGCTAAGCATGTCCGAGCGTAACTATACCGTCACAGAGCAAGAATGCCTCGCCGTAGTCATCGCAGTGCAGCGCTTCCAGTGCTACCTGTACGGACGCCCATTTACCATCCATGACAGATCATCATTGGCTCTGCTGGTTGGTCAAACAGCGTGACCCATCTGGTCGTCTATCGAACTGGGCACTCCGTCTGCAGGAATACGACTCTATGGTTTCCTATAAAAGCGGTAGTCGTCACGCTAATGCAGATTGTCTTTCGCAACTAGCGCTTCCATCGATGGACTGCGACGCGGACAACTTCGACTACCTACATTGCGCCATTGAACCTGCGATTTCCTGATACCAACGGCTTTAAGATTGAGCAGCAAAGGGACTGCACCATAAAGTAGCTCCATCCTACCGAGTCAAGACCATCGGCGACTCGCTTCTGCATGCGCGACGGGCTTGTGCACAAAAAGAACTATGTGACGACCGGCTTACGGTATCTCCTCGTGGTTCCGAAGAGTCTTCGTGTTTCCGTCTTGCAGGCTATGCATGATGACCCAACGTCCGGCCAGCGAGGCCCAGATAAAACTCTTTGCCAGCTTCAAGATAGATTTTACTGGCCGAAATTGCACCAGACGACGGAAGAGTACGTCGCTAGTTGCAACAAGTGCCAACATCGCAAGCGCCCTACGAGTGCTCCTCCAGGGTGACTACATCCTATTCCACCCGCTAGAACTCCATTCGAGCAAGTTTGGATTGACATTCTAGGTCCCTTTCCGAGGTCCTCTAATGGGAATCGCTGGATAGTCGTATGTACCGATCACTTAACACGGTACTGCGAGACAGCTGCTATACCATCGGTATTTGCAACTGACGTGTGTTTATTTATGCTGCGTTTTGTGGTTCTACGACATGGACCTCCTAAAACTGTTATCAGTGATCGCAGGCGACAATTCACTGCAGACGTAGTTGAAGAGATGCTTCATCTATGTGGTTCAAGCTTCGGCACTCTACGCTATATCATCCCCAAACAAACAGCCTGAGGGAACGAACTAACAGGACCTCACGAACATGCTTAATATGTATGTCGCAGCATATTACAAAAACTAGGGTGGCGTGCTACCTTTCATCACTTACGCATTTAACACCGCACAGCATGGGACTACCAGCTACAGTTCGTTTTTTCTTCTGTATGCTCCGCTACTTCGTCATACCCTGGATACCAGTCTTGCCGTTTTTGGACCACCATGATTCCGATATGTCCGACATCGTCTGCCGTGCAAAAGAAGCCCGACGTCTTGCTTACCTGCGCAACCTCGCTTCTCAAGATCGCTCGAAGACACGTTTTGACCATCAACATCGACACGTGACGTATTTTCGCGGAGAGCACGTGTTGCTGTGAACGCCAAATAGGAAACTTCGGTTGAGTGAAAAATTGGTGGCACACTATGCGGGACCTTATGTTGTTCTAGACCGCATAAGCCGATGTAACCTACTGCGTAGCACGTCTTCATTGCAAATGGCCGACAATCTGCAAAGACTGAACTAGTGCATATAGCACGTTTGAAGCGCCATATTTCCGAGTGAGACTGTTTAACTCGCCCGGTGGGCTTCGTCTGCGCGGAGGGAAACGTTATGCGTATGTGATTTGCGTATGAGCCTATGAGTAGCGGAGAACAGGCAGATTAGAGAAGAGGACGTTCGGCGAGCGAGATAGGCCTCCTGTGCACGACCCCATCATGTCTTCAGTACGCCACAGCTTAATAAACACCTTTCTGAACGTAACAATATATTTCGCCTATGGGCTCACACAAAGTCATTCTTAAAATTCTCAAACCAACTCGCTACACTTTCTCGACACATAATTATAATGCTCACAGCTTAGTCTGAGCCGGGGGAATACAACTCAACGCATATGTCTGTCAGCTTGTAACTAGCCTTTCTTGATCACTTTGCATGTGTTTTTTACCCGCAGTGTAACGTCACTTGCCTCATCTTGGAGGGGGGGGGGGAATTCATTGTTGCTGCTTCACTTTGCACCGTTTGGTTTTGTATCTTTAAATATAGGTACATCAGCGTGTGGCAGGTGGATAGCAAAATGGTACATCTTAGACTACAGTGCTTTTAGTTCGAGGCCTCAATCTCTACTACCAAGACTCAAGGCTCAATTATAATTCAATTAAGTAGTTTCGTGACTGGGTAAGCCGACCTATGGTTCTTGAGCTATTTTCAAATGCGAAGCATTTCTTGAAAAACTTCGGTGACTTTGAGCGTATCTATCTATCTATCTATCTATCTATCTATCTATCTATCTATCTATCTATCTATCTATCTGTCTATCTATCTGGCCACTTACGGCTTCCAGCTCTTCTGGCTGTTTCGATAATGGTATCGATAGCAAACATGGTATGGCATAACATGACTATTAAGAATATATTTGACTAGTCAAAACATGGAATTCATGACATGTATGTCATGATTTACATCTTGGGTCCTGCTGCTCTTGCGGTGGTTTCGTTCACATGGCATGTTGCAAAACTGGTATGGTAATGCATGATTGCAAGGCGAACACAAGTGACCGACCCTAACAGGAAAATCATGACTTGCGTGTCATGTAACTACATGACTGCATGCCACTGTCATGATGCGCTGGCGGCCGTTTCGCTAGCGTCACATATACCAAATTCGGTATTAGGGTACGTGAATAGATGACAAAGGTATGTGCCTCGTGCAAACATGATAATCATGAGATGCGTGTCATGTACCAACATGACTACATGCTGCGCTCATGATGCGCTGGCGGCCGTTTCGCTAGCTTAACTTATACCAAATTTGGTATTAGGGGAAGTGAATGGATGAGAAAGGTATAATACTGGTGCAAACATGCAAAACGTGAGATGCGTGTCATGTGTGAGCATGACTACATGTCATAGTCAAGGCGCCAATACATTTCGACATGACGCGGTGCACGTGCTCGCCAGACGCCGGTCCAGGTGCACGCCAGGTGCCGGTCCTGCCATATACTCCCAGGCGCGCGCCTCGCTGCGTTGCTTTGACACATGCACGTTTCAGCACGCCCGGCGTCCTTCCGTCGCGAAAAGATGGACACGCAGTGTTTTCTGGGTAAGGCATCGGCGCTGAATGCAGCTTGTCGCATTTCGCGCTGGTTGCCGCCGGGCCGCGACGGCCGACTCTGGTCGCGCCTGGCGTCAGACTATAGAGCGCTCGCGTTTTGCTAACGTAGCGTCCCTTTGCCCGAGCGCGCGCACGCGTCAACGCTACAGTGGAGTATATTGGGCCCTTCAACTTGTGCTCGCGACCATTTTGCTGGCTCCACATATACCAAATTTCGTTTCACGTGACTTGAATGGATGCGGTATTATATGACTGGTGCAAACCCGATAATCCTACGCGCGTGTCATGTTAGAACATGACAATCAACCACGCTCATGCCGTGCTCGCGGCTGTTTCGCTAGCTCCACATATACTAAATTTATTATACCGTGACGCGAATAGATGACGAAGGCTAAACAATACATCCAAACATGATAATCATGACACGGAAGTCTTGTGCGTTATCATTTACCTCCATCTCGTAACGTTCAGCTAATTTTAAAGTGACATATCAACATTTCTCATTCATGCTTCGCATATGCATCAATTCTCACTGTACGTGGGATGTGCTAATTTTTTATTCCAGAAATGTTAATTGATTTATTTCAGAGAACAAGCTATTTTGGCAGCACCATCAAAAATTAAAACTTACCTGGGCAGTTGAGGTATGAATTCTGGTATGAACTAATGACTGTGATTGTAATGCTTTTTTGTACGTAGATATTTAAGAGAAGAGGGTGTAGATGTAGAAACGAAGGTATGTGGTAGGTAAGTTTTGTTGTTTCTCTGTGTTTTACTACATGGGCACCATTTGTGACTGCCCACAGATACGCGAGTGCTCGTGAAAATCAAGGAGTTTAGTTTGGCATTGGTACAGTGCATCCCTTGTTATTAGTCTCGGTGCGTGTCGAAACTATAATTAGAACCAAAATAGGCACACTTGGGTGCATATTTATTTTATTCCTTTTGCGTTGAATTTGACATCCGCTTCACAAAGGAAGTGCCAGTCCTTTAATGCTCAGTTGACTTTCTTTTTTTTTACGCATTGAGAGAGATCGATTAAGCTCTTCCTGTTGTTTATCTATCTAAAGTGTTCGAATTCTCGAATGAACCTGCGGAGATTCTCCGAGGTTACGAATCCGACTACAGGTGAGATTGCGTTGTGTGCTAGTCACATTTTCTATTACCTGATACAGCCATATCTGCTGTATAATAAGTCTACTAGAAACGAACCTATTTCTAAATAACAAATCAAGTTACATTACGAAAATATTTTGAATAATTGCACTTTGATTATATTTTGGGGGTAATCAAGCCGCAAGTGGTAGATCAATTAGAATTAAAATGAACACATTCTGCACCATTTATTTAGGTCTGAATCAAACGTAGTTAAAAAAGTCCGCTTACATTCGACGGGACGGAAGGGTATTTAAACTTGAACACTTGAAAATTAAATTGCCATGTTTTGCCGAATTGTTTCTGCCAAAAATTTCCCATATTAAAGTACCATGCGAATTGATGTTTTGTGAATTATGCGAAAGAAAGGTCGCTATGGTGTTCTTTCTTTATTGAAAAAAAAACGCTGAAAATTGACGCTAAAGATATCTACAAATCACGCACACAGATCTGTTTGCAGTAGCATATCATTATTTTAACAAGTTGCTTAACGTTGTACAATGGTGCCAAGAGCAATTTGGTATTACCAGCATCAGATGTGGTAGGCTATTACGTAGCGCTTGCACTTGCGAGGATGTTGGCGCTTCCGAGTGCTACGTTGACAACATCAGAGGATGACGCTTAAGTATGCAATTTCGGATAACCTGATAAGACAACTCTGAGTAACGTCTATCAACCAAGACAGCAAACACAGCAACAACGAAATTGGCAGTTGCTACGTACAGTGAAAATCGATTATATGCGAAGCACGAATAAGGAAGGTTGATATGTCACTTTAAAATCAGCACAACGTTGGAGGTGGTGGTTAATTATGCCGTACATGAGCTCTATGTCATGATTGTCATCTTTGATGTGTCATTTACCTTCGTCACATATACACATCACCTGATACAAAATTTGGTATATATGGGGCCTGCGAAACGGCTGCGAGCGTGCTATGAGCGTAGCATGTAGTCACGTTTTATATGACACGCATGCCATGATTATCATGTTTGGACGTGTCGTTTACATTTGTCGTCCATGCACGTTGCGTACGTAATATCAAAGTTGCTATATGTGGAACTAGTCAAACGACCGCTAGCACGCTAGGGGCGTAACAACTAGTGAGGCTTTACATGGCACGCATAACATGATTATCATGTTTGCACGAGTCATTTACATTCATCGTCTATTCACGTCACGTGATACCAAAGTTCGGTATATGTGGAGCTATTGAAATGGCCGTGAGCGCACCATGAACAACCCAATACACTCCGGCGTCAAGTTGACGTGCGCGCACGCTCGGCGCAGCGAAGCTACTCTAGTAAAACGCGAGCACTCTAGACGCCAGGTGCGACCGGCGCGACCAGCGTCCGTCGGCGCGGCCGGCGGCAGCCGGTGCGAAAGGCGACATGCTGCATTTCGCGCCGACGACGATACCCAGACGGCACTGCGTCTGCCTCTCTTTGTGACAGAGACGTGCCGGATGCAATCAAACGGGCGTGCGTCAAAGCGATGCAGTGCGGCGTACGCTTGCAAGTATATGGCAGGCAGATCGGCGCCTGGCGTGGCACCGCCAGCGTCATGCGACGAAGCGAACGCCGGCTCTAACGCGCGCCGAGTCATGTCAAAGTGTATTCGCGTCTTGAGTGCTGCTTGTAATGTTACATGAACGTCATTATATTTGCACCTGTCGCATCTCTTCGTGATCCATTCACGTGATGCATTACAAAATTTTGCATAAGGGGAGCTAGCGAATTGGGTGCAAGTGCATCATGAGTGTGTCATGTAGTCGTGTTGTTACATGTCAAGCATGTCATGATTATCATGTTTGGACGTGTCATTCATCTATGGGGTCCGTTCGCGTCACGTAATACCGAATTAGGTACATGGGAAGCTAGCAAAACGGCCATGAGCGCATGACGAGCGTTTCATGTAGTCATGTTGTTACATGACACGCATGCCAGGATTATCATGTTTGCACCAGTTGCATACATTTGTCAACAATTCTCGACTAGCCATACCAACCTTAGAATATGGGAAGCACGCGAAACAGCCTCGAGCGCATCAGGAGCGTGGCATACAGTGAAGTTTTTACATGACATGCATCTCATGGTTATCCTGTTCGCATCAGTCACATACCTTTGTCATCCATGCAAGTCCCGTAATACCAAATTTGGCAAATGCGAAGCTAGCAAAACGGCCGCGAGCTCGTCATAAGTGTGGCATGTTGTCATGTTGTTATATTCCACGCATGCCATGGTTTTCATGTTAAGGTCAGTCACTTGTGTTCGCCATGCAGTCATGACTTACCATACCAGTTTTCAACATGTCATGTGAACGAAACCACCGTAAAAGCAGCAAAACCAAGATGTGTAAATTATGACATCACTGACAAACAAGTGATGATTTTCATTCTATGACTTGTCAAATTTGTTCTTCATACAATCATGTTAAGCCATACCAAGTTTCGTATTGATGCCATTATGAAAACAGCCAGAAGATCTAAACTCGTAGGAGGCTAGATAGATAGATAGATAGATAGATAGATAGATAGATAGATAGATAGATAGATAGATAGATAGATAGATAGATAGATAGATAGATACGCTCAGAGTCGCCAAAGTTCGCTAAGAAATGCTTCAATTTAATAAACGCTCGTCAAACATTACGACGACGAATGATTTTTTTTCGAGGCGGGACAGACGCGGGCGGCGCCGACTGCTGACGCGTTCGGGACTGCTCCGTACGCCGTTGGACGTAACATGCACCGGACTTGCCGGAGCTGATACCACGTACCCTACCTCGTACGACGTTGCAGGCAGCACCGCCGTGCACGCAACAAGAAGCGAACGACTAAAGAAGCAACTACGCGACTTATCCCCAAGTCAGGCCACAGGCCTACGACCACAGCAGTACCCTAGCTAGTCGACCTCACCCAGCCAAGCAGCTCACTGGCCCCAGCTGTCTTCAAACCCACGCGGGCCAACAAGACCGCTGGAAAAGGTGAGACCCGCGCCCCTCCGTGCTCTTCCCCGCAAAAGCCCATAGTAGACAAAATTTAATTGCTCCAACGCGAGAACGCTAGCTTACGCAAAGACCTAACTGAGATTAAGACGCTTATACAAGCGACCCAACTCGCTGAGCCACGCGAGAACACGGAAAATTCCACCGCTCCGGCTATGGTACGAGGACAAAAACGTCGTGCAGCGCCCAAGCAGGCCTACGAAGAGCCTCTAACGATGTCGAGCATTATGGCTCACATGATATCTTTGTTAGAGTAGTTCTGCTTCGATATATTAGTTCAGTTGAATTCCATGGAATTGCGGAGCAATGAACTCTCCACACGTATCGAAACTCCAGAAGCGGACCGACATCACATAATGCTGTGACGGCAAATAAACGATCAGTAAACATGGGTACCTTAAGCAATATAATCATCTGGCCGTGGAACTGCCCTAGCTTCAGAAAAGCTTCCCTAAAAGGAAAGACGCCTTGCAATAATTACTGCGCTCTACGGCTGAAAGAACTTCTTTCCTCCTACTCAGGAAACGCTCACTGATAATCTTGCACTGTGGGGTAACTGGGTTGAGCCCGCTTTTAGTTGGGTAAACGGGGGATCGGCACATTTGTTTAAAATACTTAGCTTACCTCAAACATGAAGTTCCCCTGATCTCAATGTAGAACACATCTTAATCAAACTTATACCAAATTCGCATCTTAAGGATTTGGTCTTCATCTTAAACGTTTACAGATCACCAGCTAACCAAAGAGAAACTTTCAATGCCCTCTTTCAGAAAATGAATAAGAAATTCGGAGACCACCTCCTCCTCTTTGCTGAAGACTTCAAAGCTCCCAATCTAGACTGGGGATACGGTTACGTTCATGCTAAATAAGAAGTACTTGCTGCGCAGTTTGCGCACTACTGCCTAACGCTCAACACCGACCCCACAATCTCTACTCGCACAGGGATGTCGTCTACCAGGAACACAGCGCCCAACTTAGCCCTACGAGAAATACTCGTAACCCTCACATGACGTAACACCCTAATGAACCGAGGTAGTGATCACTACATTTGTGGCATCACCCTTGGCGTTTCTACTCCACACCTCGTGTATCTAAAGTCATAGACTGCGATCAGTTCCGCGATATCAGAAACAACAATTGAAACAGTTACACTACTATTAGTGATCTCTTTACTATTCTCAAAGAGGAAGGGATCGATACCACACGTGCAATCAAGCGAATGGACAGTCATCTTGCTCACCTAACCTAGGCGCAGCAAGCATAACAAGCATAGTGGAACGCTGGCTAAACCGCGATGGATGAAGTATGGAACTCCTTAGATGCACAAATGCGCAGAGGCTCCAAATGGAACATACTCAAGCAGCTCCTAGGTGACAAACCACATGAAATCAGATTAACAGTTAACTATAGATAGATTAATGCACAAGCTTCAACAAGCTGATTTGACTAACGACCAAATCACTAATAAACTCGCAGCCCAGTTACCTCTGCACAGTGAAGAGAGGTGTGACGCAGATTATCCAGTTCCATACCCCCAGGAAGGCGACGACCCACTGGGCTGCCCCTTCACGTGCGCGGAAATAGGAGCAGTATTCGCCAACCAAAAGTGCAACTTGGCTGCAAGGCCAGATGGTGTAGCTTACAAATTGCTTAAAAATGTAGTAAAAAATAACATTCAGCTTCTCTCAAACTCATCAACAAGGTGTGAGAGACCAGTGAACTACGGTTAGACTAGCGAAGAACCGCTGTAGTTGTCATACCAAATCAGGGTAAACCCCTCGCGTGCTCCAACCGATCTCCGTTACTTCATGTGTAGGCAAACTGGCCGAGCACGCCATACTCAAGCGAGCAACCAAACAAACGGCGGAACATAATCTCCCACCCTTCAATAAAATTGCCTTTCGCCCTTCCTAGTCAACACAAGACGTAATGTTATTGCTAAAGCACCGTATACTCTCTGTTAGGATGCGGGACAGCCAGGCAGTCCTAGCACTAGACCTCGAAAATGCATTAAACAAGGTTACACACGCACACATCCTATGGTCCTTAACCGAAACAGGCCTCGACACCCGCTTTTGCAAATACATACGCTCCTTTTTGAGAGACCGGAAAGCAACCATGCGACTTGGATTGTTAGGCTCAAGACGTATGAAGTATGTCGCATAGGTGCCCCACAAGGGGCTGTCCTTTCCCCATTTTTGTTGAATCTTGCCTTGAGTGCTCTTTCGCGTGAACTCGGCACAATCGACGGCCTTGGCCATGCCTTCTACGCAGATGACATCACTATTTGAAGTGAGGGCGGCGTTGAAGGTGTGGCCAAACGCAGGTTACAGAAAGCAGTTGACATAATCCAGAACGATCGAGACCTAAGCGGCTTGCAATTGTCAGCATCTAAATCTGAATTAGTTCTTTGCAGGCCCAAACGGAGCCTTAAGTGGCTTACCCTCATACCCATTTACTTACACACTGCAAATGAAACGCACACGCCCTAAGTCTTGTCGCTAAGAATTCTGGGCAAAATACTGCAGGAGGATGGCAAAAATAATCACAGCATAGAGCGCATAGTGGCCAAAGCAGAATCCGTGTCACAATTATTCAGGCGTGTTTCTAATAAAAAAAGCGGACTCCCCGAGGTAAAGTTACGGTGTCTTTTCCACACGATATTAATGAGCCATATCAACTGTGTGTCTCTAGCTCCCCGTGGAACAGAAATTATGAAAAGAAATTCAATCTCCTCATTGGTAAAGGCATCAAACAAGTACTCGGAAAGTCCGTCTATGTCAATACTAAAACTCTCATGGCCTTGGGCGTTCACAACACAATCAGTGATATTGCTAAAGCTCAAAGTGTCACTCAACAAGCCAGACTATGTTTCACAGAGGCAGGCAAACAACATTTAGCTTACCTGAAATTCACGTCCGCTTTTCCTACAGAACGAGAATGTACCCTGCCCTACTAGATCAGAGACCGCATTCGAGTACCTCCACGACCACGTAACGTGCACCCGGACTACAAACGGGGTCATCGTAGAGCACGCGCCACCGCGCTACTGAAGCCCACGGCCGCTATGACCGACTCAGTCACTTTCGTAGGCGCCGCAACATACCCCAACTATAAGCACTATGCAGCAGCTGTAACTTCGCTACAAGGAGAACTGCTCACAGCGCTTACGCTCCTAAACTCGGACCTTGACCATGCATAACAGGCACCATTGCCTTTGGAAATGGCGACCACAACCCGCACTGCCGTTTACACTAATTCCAGAGCCGCGGATCAGGCCTATTGTGTGGACTCGGTTTGTAAACAAGCAGCCCACGCATTCTCGTGTGACGCGTGGACTGACACCAAGCATTTAATTTGGTTCCTGAGCCAAATGGGCTCCGACGCCCACCCCCTGGTTCCAAACGCCAACGCGCTTGCCCACTCGCAGGGGTGAAACCTTACTCGCAGCGTCAGTAGAGAGGGTGACCCACAGCCTGAGGGTGGAAAATGACTCCGGAACCAACTGCAGACCTATAATGAATTCTGTCTGCACTATCGTCTTGAACGGCGAGAGTTTTCGTCACTGCACCCTCGACTGAAACGACCACATGCGCTATCCTCCCCTCTCCTACAAACAGGAAAATATTGCTCACCGGCAGTTTGCTCACTCGCGATGCAAGTTACAACATATGCTCTAGCAATGCCCCGAGTTGCGCGAGGATGACGGGTCTCCTATCGCAGAAAAGTACTTCGATTCTCTCCTCACAAAAACCCACGAAGATGACCGAATTCCGGCCGTCCGGAGGGTCCGGAGGGCTGATGACATGGCCATCGAGTTGTACCTCCGAGTCCCGTCATGGGCGCAGCTCGCAGCCGGCCCTCCTTGGGGGGTCATCGGCTGCTCAGGATTAAAAGAAGTCATTCAGTCAGTCTTTTTCGAAAGCAGCTCCGAGACCTGGCGTGCCTCTGTAATATAATACTTGATTGCCTATTAGATTCATTGTATTGGATTCCTGTTGCGGTTATCATATTTATTTGATGCATTCATCAACACAATGCTGCCGGTGCAATTTTTTCTTAACACTCATAAATTAAAATTCTGAATGCCAGTTACCGCCGTTCCTCGATCAATAAAAACTCTCAGTCACTATTTTGGCACATACCCATTAGGCATGGCCAGATTTACGCTGTTATGTGCCGCGCAATTAGGTGTTTGAGAACCTGAGCGAGGAAATTTAACGCAATAGCGTTAAAGAGCTCGTTTCACAGAAATATCAGCGTTGGTGGTTGTGAGCGAAAAATCATCATCTTATGCGTTGGCGAAAATTGAGAACGATGCCAAGAAAATAAATAAATGATAAAAAAATCCTGGAGCAGAGTGCTTACCAAATCAGGATTGCTTTTATCTAAGTGGGGGTCGAATCCGAAAACGCACAAATAGTTTGCGAGGTAAGCGGGTGTTCTACCACACAGCCCGCCTTCACTTGTGTGAACAGTGAAAAGTTCTTCATTTGCTTAGAAATTCAGTGTGAGTAGCTTTCATGTGGCCCGAACAACCGTGCCCTGTATACATGCTGCACAATGAAACATGAAATATTGCAGGCATAATGCGTGGGACAAGCGTCCGTTGCCAATAGGTGTCAGAATATGTGATTAATATATTGACTGCGTGGTTGAACGCTGGTGCCCCAGTACAAAAGCCACACAAACTATACTGCGCCTATTCAGTGAAGGCTACAAAGTGGGTGTATAGCAAATTAAAAAAAAAGTCTTCGAAGTACGAGCTAGAAACAGGATGTCGCTATCGCGTTAAACTCCTACAGACGAAGCTTTAGGGTCCACGAATTTTTGGCGTGAATAATTGCATAGCTATCCAGCTATATCCTTCGAACGCGTTACAATGCTGTTCTCTACATGGTATGCCCGTAGTAAAACAGGCAATCACGTGAAGATAGATTAGTTATATGGATATATAGATAGACAGACAGACAGACAGACAGACAGACAGACAGATAGATAGATAGACAGATAGATAGATAGATAGATAGATAGATAGATAGATAGATAGATAGATAGATAGATAGATAGATAGATAGATAGATAGATAGATAGATAGATAGATAGATAGATAGAAACACTGAATGTAGGTGCAGTGTGCTAAAAAATGTTTCGCATTAGAGGATACTACGCAGCAGGCCCTCTTGGTTGTGTACTGGTGATTATAAGCAATCAACATTTCACCATCTGTCAACTCTGCATAAAGTGTATATGTGACTCATGAGAACACGGCCTGTGATTTATATGCAGCTCAAATTATGAACCATCTTATTGGAATGGACTTGGTGGCTATCGCTGTAGCACTAGGTAAGGGTATTGAATTTACTTCAAACAATGACGCAGTTAAATTTACAAGTATTGTAAGCGAAATCACTTGATAAAATTACAGTGTAGATCGATCGAGTATAGCTGAAAAAATACATTTAAATAATAATTGTTAATAATACCAGGTGACCCCAAATTGGCGATAATAGCAAACTTTGTATTTTTCCTATGTACTTGTTAGACCCTGCGGCAGGACAAGAACGTTTCTTTAGTATTGATGATAACATAACGCAAAGCTTAATATAGACCTCATAAAATTGCGAGATTAGCTTGAATCACTTGTGCAATGAAGAGGTAATCTTTTTTGCTGCTTTCGTTTCAAAATGAAAAAAATTCATTTGTACAATTGCGAGCGAACTATGCGAAATAAATTTTAGAGTTTTTAATGTCAATATAAAAAAGTAATGATTTATTTGATGCAAAATGTAAAATTCGAACAATAAATTTAGACTCAATCTTATGTCTTTAATAAGAGTTGTGCTTGTTAGTAAAACGCTAATTTGGTTGCGTACTCTCTTTCATGATTAAGCTGTGATTATCCTGGCACCGAATGAGGCTTTGGCTGGTGGTCTCGCTGGAGGTGTTGCCGGAGGCGGAGGTATTGATCCCAAGAAGTAAATGGTGCTGCAGCCCGAGCCATGCCCTACCACGTTGCCACGCTCAAGGTGGCGGGTTTGCTTTCAATAAGAAAGTCCATTTCGCCGGAAGGGCGAAACAATCATTGCGAGAGCAATTTGGAAGGCTACAGAAAGAACGGCAGGCAGTTCGAAGCTTTCAGCGCTGTTCAAACACTCGACGAGGTCGAATCGACCGAGCGGTTTATTCTTTGTGTTTGAGATTTGTAACCGCCGACCATGCACAACCAGCTAGCCCTTAGTTTTGTCTTCTAGCCAGCAGCACACTATTTCCACAAACTCGGTCACAGGAGCCAGTGAGACTCCACTTTTGTGGTCTATAGCTTGAAGGCAAACTTTCGGTTTAAAAGACGACACGTTCAAACATTTACCCTTCCTTCCTCATGACATAAGCGCCAGCACTGGCCATGACGTCCACTTCGTTTAGGCACAAGTACAAGGCGTGGACGCCTTCAAACTACGTCTAAATCCGAGCAGAGCGATTACACTTAAAGCACGCCCTTCATGCCATCTAGAAGATTCATGAGGATACCAAACTGACTGCTGCTTCAAACTATTTATTTCGTATTTCTTTCACAGTTGCATGACAGAATATACATGTTAGGTCCTCCTTCTCAATATAAACATCCACGCTTCAACCGAAATATAAATGTTAGAACAATAAGTATACATTCGGCTGTACTTGCTTTTCTCATTGAAACGGTAATTGTTACCACGAAGCTAATTGGGTACTACCTTCCTTTTTATATTCAAGCTGTTATGGTGATTCTTCCAAATGAGGCCCTTGCTGGTGGTATCGGGGGAGCTCTCGGATTCGCAGGCTTCGTTCGCAAGAGGTGACTGGAGCTGCATGTCAAGTCTTTGTATACCACGCTGCCATTCTCAAGATGATGGGTTCACTCGCCAAAATGAAGAAGGACGCACATTTTCTGCTCTTTATTGAAACACATGCGGTTGGTCCAAGAGAGAAGGTCTATACTGCTTGCCTGTTGGCGACACAATTACAGTTTAAGTTTTGTTTTGTCTATATTGATCAAGCTGATGGACAATAAAAAATTACTACTCGGCGGAGAACACACAGTCACAACGCTTCTTTCACTCGCTTACGCAAGATCAGTTCTCTCCATTTTTGTCACGCTAGCCGAGGTTTCTCTCTAGTTAGCTAAAGTTTTAAAAGTTTTAGAATGAGCTAGAATACCGAATTTACATTAAAAAATCACTCGACTGGTGACCCTGAGGATGGCCAACACTGTAGATTGCATGGATGCCGTATTTAATTAGCTTTATACAATATTTTTAGCACAAGGAGACAACAGGTTCTTCAAAATATTGTATGCATGTACGTACTTGTGAGTTAAAAGTTCGCAATGACTCTCTCATGCTCAGCCTTGAATGAAGCAATGCTATATGAAAAGAAACGTAGCGCAAGGCGGCAGTTGTGAAGACAAACTTGCGAAAATACAATGTGGAATAAGTAAACACGCAATACGAATAGAATTATGATACTAATGCATCATAGTGATATGGCAAACCACGTGCTTTGCATCGTCTAAGCGTTCAGTGAGGTAATCAAGCTCACTGTTTAAGGAATACAAGTGCCTCAATTATTCCACGGAGTATCGTGGTAAACAAAGGGCACCGTGCTTTGCCTTCTTGCTTCGTATCTACAAGTTTATTGCATCACTTCGCACCCCCCCAATCATCTAAGGGGCCAACCCCTTATATATTTTATAATTTTGCTTATAGAGTGTTTCTGCTTTTCAGTAGGGGTGTGCGAATACTGAATAATATGTCTGGAAAGAAAAACCACTTTGAATTAACAAAATAGGCGAATATCTATTTGAATATTGAATAGCAAGTTTATTTAAAAAAAGCATGGCTATTTATAAATTATCATGCAAAAAAGAGCTCTTCAGGGTGATCTGAAATCAACTTCTCTCTGTGGGCCGTAAAAATGTAACTAGGCATGAAAATAACCTATTAATTTTATACACCTGTTGCTGGAATGTCCCTGTATTTGAAGGCTATATTGCAGAATCCTGGGAAGCTCCACTGTCCTGTTTCTTTCAAGAATGATAGCTGGTCGTGGTCTTTGCAGCAGGTTGGCTCTCGAAAGTACCACTTAAACTTTCTGATGTTGGCTGTGTTGTTGAAGTGTCTTTTTTTCCGATGAAGATGCCAGCCTCTCAATTCAGGCCCGATACTGATCAAGGGCTACTAGTGAGCTGTAGACGTCGGCGCTTTGACACAGCCACGATTTCTTTTTTTGCCGGGGAAAACATCAACTCTTCTTTGAATCTCCAATAGCCTTCTTTTCTGGAACGTTTCACCACAGTGAGATTCTTAATCCTTGGGTCGCAGGTAGTTGCCGGCTTATATTTGTTTTGCTCGTCCTGCCCTGAAAACCTTCTCCTCATGTTTTCAGCATGTTTCTAGCAAACTCTCAGGTGTTATCGTCCGATGCATTACAGTGTTTAAGAACCATTTGGGCTCCATACAAAGACAAATCCACTAACAACAAAGTTCCGTACTTGCGGACACTAAGATCTTTAGTCACCAATTGATCAATGGGTTTGTAATTGGGCCTTTATAATTTTTTCTAGGAACTGAACGTCGTGTTTTGTGGTAAGAAAGGTTGACCAATGTAATAATAATAACGTTAATTAACAACTAAGGTGCCTTCACAAAGTGGCGCCATGCCTAAAGAATGTGCGTGGATTACAGGCCCCCTTTTCCTCAAACAACAGTGATACTAAATTTCGAGCTTCAGATCTGCGCTTCAGTCAACTGCTTTGCATGCAAACCCTTCTCGGCGAAGAGTGAATGGCGTCAGTTACGTAAAAAGTATTCTACCTCAAGCGCGAAAAGCACCCAAACGATTATCCACGTGTTCCCAGCTGTGAGACAGACAGACAGACAGACAGACAGACAGACAGACAGACAGACAGACAGACAGACAGACAGACAGAGAACTTATATTCATCCAGAGAAGCTTTCCTGTGAACTCTAATTGGGCCCCTATGGCAACCACTAGCTGCGTCCGATTCGGAGATGTTCCGCCATTTCGGGGCCCCTGCACTGCCTGAAGGTGCGTATAGAGCGAGGAGATCCGGAGTGTCTCTTCCCAGTTGGCTTCACTGGTTTGAGGGTCACTAGGTAACACGGGGCATAGCCCAAGTATGTCTGCTAAGGAAAAAAAAAGTCACAGCTTTGCCGCAAAGGTGAAGCAATGAACGCGATAGCCACAAAATGGAAGGTCACGCGCAGAATAGTAAGCAGAAAAAAACGTTCCCCACGTTTCGCACGCATCAAAAGGAGGCACGAAACGTACTCTCAAGAACGCGAATAAGCGTCTGAGTTGTTACTTCACTGTCTGAAAAGCGCGCCCTTTTCGCAAACGAAGACTGCAACGATTTCAGTGACCTTAGTGCACCCCGTCAGTACAACAGAATTATTGCGGTGAAAGGCCAAGGCCAGCCTATGTGCATGATTATCCCCACCGCTAGATAAGCGCACGCGTGAGCGTCCACTCTTTTTCCTCTTTACGGGGAAAAGTGTCCTGGAGTAGATTAGAGCGCTTGCCACCATGTCTCGACGATGTGGCTACGCACACTCATTGCGCCATCTTACTGGTAATGCTAAAAACACGACAGTGTCCACGAGATATCTATCACCAGCGGTAAGTGTTACATAAAAATCGCTTGCCATTTGAACGTTGAAAGTGTTGCTCCTTCGTAACTCTCTGGCTAACGCATCACACAATTCAGCGATCATACGTTCGATTCCGCTCGCCGGACTCTCTTTCTGTGTAATTTTTGTTTTTACGTTTTCATATATACAGATACGCCGACACATACGATGAGCGACCGCGACACTGACGCCGACGCCATCAGCAAAATGTAGCCGAGAGTGTGCGTGTATTTGCTACCACAGAGAAAATGCATTCGTTGCAGTCCGGACAGCTTGAATCAATATCTTTTGATATGCTACTGAGAAATTATCGCGATGAGAATGAGCCCTTCAACGAAGCCGATAGCGAGAGGTGATTTCATTCAAAATCACGAAGGGATCATTATGCTGCATTTCAACCTGTTCCTATAAGGCCTCCTAGCCGCCGTAGCACGCGAGATCTCGTGCATGGTTATGGGCAGCTCATTGAGATTATGTGTGGTCAGATGAACGACTGCACCCATTTGGACGGCAAACTGCGAGATGAAGTGAGTGCCAAGGTTTGTTCTTTTTGCCAGTATAGAGGCAGCCTCTCGCGCTTGGTTACTTGATTGTAAAGCTTTGATGGCCGTTCGTGAGAACTAAAAACCTTGGCATCGGAGGCGTTGAGCTTGGCCAATGCTCTGACAACCTGTTCCACCACAGCACTAGTAACTAGCCTAACCCAGACCAGCGAGTGCAATTCTCCATTGACGTCAATGACTGCGAGCGTGCACGTGCAAGACTTGTCATATTGAGAGGCGTAGACAAAGACAGCCCATTAGCGATTTTTGCTGGCCCTCTGGTATATAGCTTGTGCTGGGTCTTTTCACTTTCCTATGTTGTATTGCGAGTGCATATCGCCAGACAATAGGTTAACCACATTCGTCTCCCGTAGCTTCCGGGATGAGGTCATTTCCCGTACCTTAACAATTCTGGGAGCGATGCCGGTCACGTCTAGAATATGCCTTCCTGCTCTAGCTGACCAAAGCCTGACCACGATATTGGTGACCCACTCTTCAATGACTTCATCAATGTCGTTGTGCGTAACGAGTTCGCTCAATCTGTCAGAACAAGTGTTTACTGGTACCCGCAGTAATCTTTATGCAATTTAGCCTGAGTATATGTTAAGCTTATCTTTTTCAGTATTTCTCCACTTAGGGGCCGAAGTTTCAGTTATTTTGACTCAATAGGAAGGCACGACAAACCTAGCGTAGACTGTCTTCGCCTAGTCGTTTTCTTTTTCAGTGATACTATGGCGACGAGTGTCAGCCTTTTTCAGTCAGTAGGTGCCTCTTTGCTGCTCGCTACCAGCATTGATTTTAGAATTAGTGTTCGAGAAAAGGATCGCACAAAGAATGATTTGTCACGCCACTACTCACCGCTACTTCTATTAAACAGTGTTTTCACCGTCGCTTGTGCGTGGTCATGATGGCGGTGACGGCAATGATGGTAGCGAACGCATGACTTTACACGTGTGCGCCGAGCAGAGGAAATGTATGCAGAAATTCAGGTGACCATTTCATCAGGCCAAGTGAGGAGATGAGGCAGCACCACGGGAAGTGACCATTCGGCCGGACTGAAGATTGGCGGACATCGCACCCGAACTTAATCGAGTTCGGTACTCTAATACTTACCAATATTCTACTACAAATGTGTCAAAATTGGGTAACTTTTGGAGAGCTAATATTGCGGTCATAATTTTAGCTATCAAAACTGGCACAATATCTGGCAGTCATAATGAAAAACACCAGTCAATTTAAGGGCAGAATATTCCTATGCCAGCTTTTTCCTCAGTTTGCGATGCATCTGTTGCAACAACCACATACCTTGGCAAATTATTCAGATGCTCTTGAAATAGTCCATACTCGGGTTTGAGCCCCATTGTGTAATTAGTACTAAATCTTTCTTTTCTTATTTCGCGATATTGGTTATGGACACCAACCACGGCCGACAACTACGGCACTGCAAGTGACCCGTGTTCTGATCTGATCATAACTATTTTAGCTGTGAAATTACTTGAAGACATCTCCCTTAAAAGTCAATTCATAGACTTTCAGTGCATAGTCATGTGTCGACGACACGCAAGTGGGTAACTTGAAATATATACATTTCTCCCTTAATGCCGGCTTCAGAACGGTATACAGCGTGACAAAAACTCAGTATGAGGTTCCTCCGTCGAGCTTGCAAAGCCTTCCATGATAATTGATGCTTGCTCTCCTTCATGCCTAATGTTTTATATCAGTTCAGCTCAAAGCGAACAGCCCTAATTGGAACCCTATTAAGCTGCTCCGTGAGATTAGCTGTGAACGGATTCCAACATACACATCCGTAATCCTGTATGCTTCGAACG